TGATAAAGTTAAAAATGTTACCAATGAGTACTAAGTATTAAAGAAGTAGAAGAAGAATCTCCAATGGTCAAGGAATGGTTCATTTCACAAGCCTGGCCATTCTTTCATTCTTTTGCAGATCGCACTTTTTATTTTTTAAATAAGTTTACCAGTGGAACCTGGGTTGAATTGATCATAAGAGGGGTACAATCGAGTAGGGTGTACAGATCGCACTTTTTATGTGAAATAAAATGTAAGATTGTGCACTAATGTGAAGAGTAAAACTAGACCGCTACTTCGATAAAACAACATTAAATTAAGTTACTTTTGTTTCATAGCTTAGTATGTAGTGGCATAGATTCTCCTACTTTTCAATACTATAAAATAAAAATTCACTTCTTAATTTTATAAGTTACTTTTTCAGTTAGACCAATATAATCATGGATGGCACTTCGTGCGAATTTAATGCTCGGCTGTAGTCTGCTCTCTGCACCTTGTCCGTGGATCTTTTTGTTTGTCCTTTTGGTTATATAAAATGATTTCATATTCTAACTTACCATTTGAATAAAACAATTGATCTTAATATACTTGTGTTATTATTATTAATCTCTGTGAATTTGGTGTTTCTAACTCCGCTCCAAGCTCCTCCCATGGAGGAAATGAGCTTGTGCAGAAATGGGAACCAGAGGTGATGGAGCAGAGAGAGATCTGTTAGAACATTCGAGAAGAGAATGAAAAATGATCTTCTTACTTCATAATGAGCTTACAATATATATATATATATATATATACTGTGCTAATTTAATCAACCGACCTAACCTACAGCTGTCACCCAACTGTCATAGCCTACTAACCTCTACGGTTAACTCCCTTAACCACAGTTAAGTCCTAACCACTAACTATTCCAACAATCTCCTACGAAATGGTTATATAACTAAAATAATATTCTATGATGGAGTACAAAACCAAATCTTCCATTCATATGTATTCCATTGTTTAGAACTAAACTAGTACGTACTCTGTCTCAATTCATGTGATATAGTTGGAATTATAGCTGTCTAACGGGACAAGACGATATTTAGTCGGGACGGTGGCGGGACGGGACAAACGGGACTAAATGGTAGGTTCATCCCGTCCCGCTAACAAACGGGACGAGACGGGACGGACGGTAGGCCCATCCCGTCCCGCTAACAAACGGGACGAGACGGGACGAAACGGGTTCGCGAGCCTTAAGTGCCGATTTAAAAAAAAAATTATTTAAGCATTGAGTTTGGAAATCGCTATTCTTTTGACAATGACTAAGTTATTAAAGTTTGCAACATCTAGTTTTTTGAGTTATTTAATAAACATAAAATTTAAACGAAAATTAGAAAACTAAGTAAAGAATTATAAAATATTAAAACAAAAGACTTGTAATGAAATATTCTAGTAATTATAAATTTATAATAAAGTTATAATTTATTTAATATAATTTCAAGCCATTAAGTAGCTAAGTAAGAGTGTAAGACAATTCATAAGAATAATTCAACGCTTAAAACCTTTTATTTTATTAATAGAACTTTCAAATCTCACATACAAATATAATTCTTTTGAATAGCACCTAATCTACGCAGCCACCTTCTAGGAAAGGTTCTTTTTAAACTAGGCCTCTTAGTAACCAATTACAAATTATCATATTAATATTTGTAAGCTCCTATATAATTTCGTTGTAACTTATCTATAATTTCTCTCGGACATTATTCTGGAATTAGCAATGTTGATTGATGTTCCATGAGTTCCATGCCGTCATAGCTCCAGATGCTAAGTATCTCATTGTATTCTTCTTTTTCCCTAGTTTCACCACTTGTTGTTTCCATAGTTTTATATTTATCAAATATTGATCTAACATAAGAATATATGTTAGCTTGACAGTCTTCGAGAGATGGTTGTTCATTTTCTTGAATTGTTAAATTCTCATAAATTTTACGAACAAGTCCATTTGCACCTCTTAATTTTAAAGATGTGTTAAGTATAGTAGAAATTACATAAACTTGGGGAATAGGGAAAAAATATTTTTTAAATTTTGCAATCATTTCATTAATGGCCGGTGCATAAGTTGGATTAATTTTGCAATCATTTCATTAAGCTAGTTGCTGCAGTTGTGTTAGCACTTAGCAGAAGCATTATCTAAGGTGATAGTTAAAACTTTATCAATGAGTCCATAAAAATCAACAATTTGTAGAATAATAGTTGCAATATATGCTCCACTGTGTTTTGAATCAACAAATTTATAACCAATAATACGTTTTTGCATGTTCTAGTGATGATCAACTCAATGATATGTAACAGTTAAATAATCACAACCATTAGGACTACGACCTATATCAGATGTGATAGACACTTTACAATCTAAGTGAAACAATACACAACGAATATACTGAAAATATTCGGTTTGAAGTTTAAAAACATCATTTCTAACCGTGGTCTTAGGAAAACCTTGAAAAGAAGGATTACAAGTTTCTTGTATATAATGCACACAAAAAAAATAGGACGCGGGACAGGTGGGACGGGATAGGACAGGACGGGACAGGCGGGACAGGACGGGACGGGACAAACGGGACGAAATGGCCATCCCGTCACATCCCGTATCCCGTTTAACATGGACCCATCCCGTTTGAATTAAGTGGGACGGGACGGGACGGCCCGTCCCGTTGGACAACCTTAGTTGGAATTGTGAGAATCAAACTTTTTTATTTTGATCACGAATTCAGACATAGATCCTTAAATTTTTTGAGATCTGAAAACTACATAAAAAGTATTATAAGTAACAATTCAAAATATTTAAAAGCATATGAAAAAGATACAGTAAAAAAAGCTTGTTTGACTCTTAAAATGTGATATTCATCGCATAATTGGGACAAAAAGAGCAGTGTTTTAAAATGCGTGGGCGTAAGGCGAGGCGTTTTACATATGCCTCAGCGGGGCGTAAGCCCCGAGGCGCGGGGCGTAAGCCCAATAGGTATTTAATTTTTAATATTTTATAAAATAATATAATGACAATAAATATTTATAAACAGATAAAATTGCATAAAAATTGAAGAAAACTATATATATGTGTGCTCCATCCCCACAAAAAACTAATCAAAACAATATATTATACGTTACTTACAAGCACAAGTAATTTGAGTCTAAAAGAATAAAGTTTTCTTTATGGAGGAACAAAAAGGATGATTAACCTGCAATTTGAACTTTGAATTTGCTGCTATGAAGAAGAATGTAGTTCTCTTTGTATTTGTAAAAAAAATTAAATATTCGTTACTTTTGGGAGATATTAGCAGACTAGCGGACAAGATAAAAATTTGGGAAAATCATGAATTAGGGCTTAAATCAATAAAAAAAAGGTGTTTACTTTTAAATTTAATACTTTTGAGTTCCTTTTTAAACCTTTTGAGTAATTACCAAACTGACTTTTGAGAATTTGGGTATTATATGAAGGATTAATTCAATAAATTTTATTTTAATTTGAAAAAGTCTATGGGGCTTATTCCTTACTAAAAAAATGCGCCTCGAACGCCCGAGCGTACGCCTCTTGAGACTTTCGCCCCACACTATCACCCCGGGGCGTTTTTGGTACGCCTCACCCCGGAGCTCGCCCCGAAAACGCCTTTTAAAACAGAGAAAAAGAGTATAACACAGTAATAGGAAACTTCTGTGATTCTTCCCCAGTACCCATAATAGTTTGGTTGCTTTTTGGTCATAGCAATAGGAAACTCATGAGCTTTTGTCTGGTAGAGTACTCTACCTATATTGAACTTACTTTGATGCAGTAGTGGACTAGCTATAATTTGTGTACGAACCCAAAAAAATGAGGAAGAATCTTTGCACTATTGTCCGAACTAGGTTTGCTCTCGTCCATTATGATTGATGTTTTTCTAGCAATTAATACTACTCCACTACTAGTATAAAGTTAACAATGATTGTACTAATTCTATATGGAAAATTTTGTATTTAAAGAGTTAAGTTTTAGCTCTAAGATAGTTAAAAAAGAATGAAAATTTCAAAATAGTTACTCTATATGTTTTAATTTATGTGTTTTACTTTTCTTTTTAGTTTGTATCTAACATCTCATATGCCATTTTTAAGATCACAATACAACATTAATTCATAGGACATTTTGGTACATTATAACTTTAATTTAAGACCACAAGATTCAAAAGTTTTCTTTCTTTCTTAAATTATAAGCACAATCAAACTAAAACACATAAAATAAAACATTGCAACTATTAATTAAGAAGAAAAAAGCATATTCCTTAGCACCCTCCCAAATTCGATTGCAAGATTTACATGTTAATTGAAATCCTTTTTCTTTCCTTTCTTCTCTTGGAAGAAAATCTTAAGAGTGAATTCCAAATAGAGGACTCAACAAATTGCAGTAGGTGGTGACTGTGTTCTTTTAATTCAAAAGATTAACTCTCCAACGACATAGGTGATGACTTTGTTCTTTGATTTCTTATGGAAGGGTAACATTATAGATTTAAGTAAATAAGTTGACAGATTAAGTTAAGAATTATAGACTACTAATGCAATTTAATTGGATATAGCAAGTTGTTAATTATTATGAATGAAAATAGTCAATACACTGGAGTCATGTTGGGAAGTCAGCAAATTATGTATGAACATTAGAGGTTCTATGAGTAGAATTAGCCCCATAACTAAGTGGCTAAACTCACTTAATGGGATTTTGGTAGTCAATAATTGGGCTTAAAGACGTGTATCGCAATTCTTATAGGCCCATATTGGTGTAATTCTGTTTTTACAATTAAGGGTTAGTTTTCATACTATTTTCGTCCCAATTTATGTGAAGGTATTTAATTGGATGCAGAGTTTTTAAAAAAAAGAAAAAAAAAGAGATGTAGGAAGTCCTTTGAATGCTGTAATATTATTAAGAAAGGAAAGAAAGCATGAAAGTTGAACAAACTGTCCAAAGATTAATGAAGATTGATTTAATGGAGAAATGTTACACAAATCAAACTTAATTATGACACAACATATACCCAATTCCCATCAAATTCGATCCTATGATGGGAAGCAGTACTAGAGGCGAACTCAGAATATCAATTAATACAGTGGACATTTTAATTTGTTGACATAATAATACAGATGGTGCATGTAAATTAAACTTAAAGGTTCACAAAGTCTTAGGCCTGCACAGTTTGCAGCTTGGGCAGCTTCTCTTCTTTAGCTGCTGCACATGCATTTTCATGCAAACTTGAAACCAATTTACCAAGTTTCAGAATGTCAATTTTATGTTCTTCAGTTAGTTCTGGAAGCTTCTTGTTATCATCCAAGATTATGACATGATTTTGTAGCTCGGGAAGATTCTGCTCCTTAAGGATGTGCTTCTCTTTCTTGTTGTATATTACATAGAGCACAATTTGAAGAATACCAAAGATTAATCCTAATATGTTTGGAGCCTATATAAAACATAAAAAAGAAAGAACGTAAGAACACAAATGCAAGTAATTAAAGAAGTGGTATATATGATGAGCTTGAAAATAGAACTTACAGCAATGTTAATGTCTTTAAGTAGAAGACCGTAGAAGAACCACATTACAGCACTTAATGTGAGAAATACTGATAGGAGTAATGGCATGAATTCCACACTCTTTGTTTTTATTACTTTTCTCTGCATGAAATGATCAACCAAAATGAGCGCAATCTTCGTGTAAAGAATTTTCACACTCTGTTATAAGTGTATATACGTTAAATCAATAAAAATGAGATTCTGAACTAATTTTCAAGCTTACCACTATACATAATGGTGCTACAAACACGCATAAGGAAAAAACAAGGCAAACCCATCCAACCACTTGCCCACGAGCGACACCTTTGAATAGAAACTGAGCAATGAGGATAATTGCACCAAATCCAGCAACCACTGTTAAAAGAAGCATCTTCACTGTTTGGACCTGCATTTATAAGAGTGACAAATTATTCCTTTTCTTTCTTCATAGTAAGAGGGAAATAATTAAAGAAAGAGAAAAAAATAACTCTTGAAAAAGTTACCCTGGCTTTCTTTGGTGCGTAGAAAAGGTAAAAGCCAACGTAGATAGTTTCAATGAAGACCCCAAAGGAGTTTATAGTGATGAGAAGGGTTGTGTTGGTCTTGAGAAATGCATAGTATATCCAAAGCATGGAACTGAATAGAGCAATCACATACGGAATTGATTGATAGCCTTCTGTTGATTTCTTCTTGTAAATTTTATAAAATGTAGGGCTACAAGTGAATAAGTATGCAATTACTCAAATGACTATAGTAATAATAGACAGAATTTGAATACCCATTGCAGTGGGTTATTCAAAGATATTAAAAATCTATTTTTAATCAATAATAAGTAATATTTTAAATTATACGATAATATAATTTTGGAGCGAAAGGCCAAACTTTGGGCCAACATAGTCTAGAGCAAACACATCGTATAAAATAAAGTAAAACGAATACGGGCAACAGCTAACTTACAGTGGAGAGAGAAAAACTATAAACGAGACAATATTTCCTGCAAGATTGAAAACTCAAGGGGTCAACAAAGAAATTCTTCGTAAAATAATGATTAATTGGAAGAGATAAAATGCCCATAAAGGTCCATGCAATGATAAACTGTGTACGCTAATGATTGAGGATACGCCAGTACGATGAAATGATTAATTGACACTTCCACTAAGATATTGTATGGATTTGTCTATAAGTTAAGTCATAATATAATTGTTATTGGCCCACTATTGACCAATATTTATTTCCTGGCTATTACTGTAGAAATTAAAGGAAGAAAGAATAAGAAGCGAGAATGACCATATATATCTACCGTAAGATCCTACAAAGTTAACACGGATACTAAAGGAACAAGAAAACGTGATTTACCAAGGACACCAAAAGCAAATGCCCAGTGGCCAGAAATAGCCATCTTTGTTTTTCTCCAAAAATGGAAACTCCTCTCTTAATTTGATAATCTCTCACTCACAAACAATTGCAAGACTTGCTAGTTTTGATTGACAATGAAATGAAGAGTGCTCAGTTCACATATTTATATAGCAACTCTAGAAGTATACAATATTAGTGGATATCTTCTTAGAGTTCTCCATTTTGTATGTATTTTTTTTCAGTTAGTGCTCTATTTGGTTTAATTCAATTTCTATGTACAAAACAAAGCACCTTTTGATCAGCTAACCTTTTAGTGTATGTTGGGTTCGATATCAAAAGGATCCCATATTGCCCTTTTCTTGTGTCATTGTCCTATCCATTATGCACTAAATCTTCCAACTCAAGCACTAGAATTTTGAAAGGGGTTTAATTTGTTTCTCATTTATTTTGTATACTAATGTGCTCCTAATCAGCAAAAAATCAATCAACTAATGATGGAGGTACCTATGAATGTTTGCCATTGGCATCAATAATAGATGCATTCTGGCTCCAATACTGGTATTGAGAATATCTATTTGGCTAAGTGGCTGATGTATGTCAACCGGATATGCTCTGCTGTTGTAGGCTTATCTCGTCTTGGTGGGTTTGTGTCATTTACCTATCTGTATTTGTATAATGAAATGAAATTGTGCCAATTTATTCTTGCCACCAATTTTAGATGATAATGTTAGTGATGTAACACCCTTTTTATCCCTAAAAGATATGTGTTATGAATTATTATGGGTTAAAAGAGTTTTTCCATTTGAAGTGATAAATTTGAGTAGGGATTATTTTATTTTACAGAGTCGCCACTTGGAATAGATTTTTGGGTGTTCCATGTCACATTTTATTTGAATCCCTAGTCAAAGGAAGGTTTGACTATATTATTATTGGTTTGCAAAAACGAAGTCCGAGTAAGGAATTTTATTGATCAGGGAGAAGGTGCAAGGCATTCCTCGAGTCCCGTAGTTCTAGCACAGTCACTTTATTGACTACAACTCGGCTTGGATTAATTTTGTACAAACCATGATTTATTGGTTCTTATGTTTTACCTATGACCGCTTTTATTGCTTGATTATATTTATGAAAATTATCTTGAAATAAGACACGCGTACGTGTACTCATTTTTGTTTGGCGTGTCAAGAATTATGTCACGCGTACATGTACACAATCAATAACACATTTGTTATTATTCGAAGTTGATTGGTCAAGTCACGTGAACACGTGACCGCGCACTTGTATTTAGGTTTACGTATCACAACTATGCCACGGGAACCGAACACATAGCCATGATATTTAATTATTTAAAGCGTGCCTAAAGAAACTAGCGCACTTGAATCATTTACCTAAACTAATTTGAATTTACTGTAAGGCCAAGAGTTTATGGATAGGAAGTTATTTGGAAGTTGGGAAATATTTTAGCTATTTAAAGTATTTGACAAGTTATCCACACTTAGAAATATTTACAACTTACTACTCTATCTTTAAAATTTGCAGACATTTATCTATTATGGAAGAATGGGCTAATTATTAATCTAGTGACTAAAATTATTGGACCTCATAGATTTAAACTCAATCCAACCCATGGCTAATTCTTTCTTTCCTATTAAATATCGTAGCTCATTTCTAGTTCACTTACTTGAACTCCAACGCATGACCCATTAATATGGCAAGATCTTCATTCTTAATTCTAAATAGCAAATCTCATTAAGATAAAATTCTATTCAAATAATCTGTTGACAAATAGCTTGAAACATGTAAAAGAAACTACAACATGACATTGTGTATAAATAAAACAGCACAAAAAATCATCACATGAACCTCTATAAGAACATCACACAAACAATGAAATAATTAACAAATGGAGGATAAGTAATGAACCTTTAAGCAAATATTTCCTTCAGAAATTGATTAATGCAAGAAAATTTCTGAGCCAAACACCAACCTAAGGTCAAATTGGTAAACGAGCAGAAAATCTAGCGATGAACCTTCTAAAATTTGAGCCCGGACTAAAACTCAGTTGTACTTCGTGAGGCTGCTGGTTTTTGGCGTAAGAGAGGTGACCACCAATAAAGCTTCACATGGTATTTTTAGGCTTTAATTTGAGGCATTTTTGGGTTTTAAACAGGGTGATGAATTGCTGGATATTTCGAAAGAAATAAGAAGAAAGGATGAAACGAGTAGAAATTCCCTTAGCGCAAAAGAACCCC